CGATTGCAATTTTCGAAAACTCAGGACTTTTAACGAACAGGGTACGACTCATTTAATTAAAAGTCCTTCACACTATCCAATAAAAAAATAACAAAAAACCATGGTGCCATTTTTTTGAAAATTTAGAAAATGTCCTATGAGATAAATGTAAAGGACCCCCAAATTACCAAATATCGAACACTGCGCGCGGTGATGGTGTAACGGTTAGCGTATCGGACTGTTGTACCCAAGTTGGCGGAGTCAAACCCGATCGAAGCCGTGGATTTTTAAGGGCGAAAAACGAAGGGAAGTAAAGCCGGCTGTCCCATGTTAGTAGATTTACGTGCATGTAAAAGATCCTCAAGCCTAAATGACGCCTCTGAGCTAAATTGAAACAGCTTGTTTCTCGCCCAAGAAGTACCTCTTTTCTTTGCTAGTTGGTGAAAGGAGCGTATCGAAGTTTGCATGGTCAGACGGAAGAGCAGGCCTCATGGTCTGAGTCTCACCACGTACAATAAGGCATTAATTCAATTCAAATTGAAATATCGGTTTCAAATTAAAGGGGCCGTGACACCACCCAGATCGATAGGGGAATATCAATTTAGGAGATTTGTGAACGGTTTAGCGGCTAGCGTTGTTCACGGACGGACATTTTGCTCTCATTCGATTTTTCGTATCAAGGGCCCGTAAAACATGAATTCTGGCGACACCACGTGTTAGAGGATGTGTTTTAATAATTTTAGCAACTGAATTTATCCATTTTTTGTTACCAAAGCCCTTTAATTCGAATTTTTCTGCCGAAAATCCACCATTGTTTTGCGCAGCATTACATAACTTTTTTCTACTCCGTAGCTAGAAAGTAAAAATTTACTATGGGATGTGCGTGATTGAGCGTGAGGTTGAGTGAGTGTGTGAATGAGTGTGTGGATGTGAGAGTGTGTGCGTGTGAGGGGTGAGTGTGGGGGTGTAAGTGTGGGACTGCGCGAGTGTGTGGGTGAGTGTGTGGGTGAGTGTGTGGGTGAGTGTGTGGGTGAGTGTGTGGGTGAGTGTGTGGGTGAGTGAGTGTGTGAGTGAGTGTGTGAGTGAGTGAGTGAGGGTGTGAGTGAGGGTGTGAGTGAGGGTGTGAGTGAGGGTGTGAGTGAGGGTGTGAGTGAGGGTGTGAGTGAGAGTGTGCAAAGTTTTTGGAGGGGCCAACATAAAGAAAGGAAGATCTACATGGCCTTTTTTAGGGCATTGCTCCCGCATTCATTTGGTATTGATTGAAGAAATCAAGGAAAACTACCGATTGGAGCAGCCGGCCGCTGTGGTTTTCCTTTGGTGACAGAATTCATCCTCGGTATCTTGGTAGTGTCAAAAATCTGCTACCGTTGGGGCTCCAACCTTAGGTCCTCCCGGTTATTGATATTGGCGCTGATCCATCGCAACTGGTTTGTTTTGTAATGAATCATTTTAAACATTTTGGAAAAGTGAAAACAATGTTAATCCATTTTGTGCTCCTTGATTCTCTTGTGACTCTAACTAAATGTAACTCGCCGCACGTATCACTAATTGCGAATCAGTATTATGACATTTAGAATATAGCGATTTTTATCCCATTTAATTAAAATAATATTAATTTCTTAGATGAATACTACACTATTATTATACGAATGTGTGATACGTCTTTAGTGTGAATATTCTCTGAGAATTAAATGTATATTCATTATTTAGAAAGATTTTTAAAGAATAGTGTATACTTATATGTACACATCTGGTCGTTGTATCTTATACAAAAGTTCAATTCTTCAAAGCATTGAGATCTGCATTGAAAATATCTGATTCTGCATTGAAAATATGTTTCTAGCAAAAATTACTTTATACTTCATTGACTACCATTATCTTGCATACTAAGTAGTGCGTTTGAAATCAGGAGCACAAGCTGCTTAGCAATTAGCAATTTTAAAATTGAATAAAACACAGAAAAGTACCGCTAGATTAAAGAAGGCGATGAAAAGAAATAAAATCGCACAAGGTCGCTTTCTGTGACATCACAGCAAACAGAGCCAGATCTTTGCATATTTGTTTAAAAAATTATGTAATATTACAGCCATAATTAGATTGCAATGCTCATTTCATGTAATCTACCCAGATAATACATTTCTAAACTTCTTGTACCAAATGATTAATCAGACTATTCCAATTGTGAAAATAAAACCAATAGCGTTTACCTATACATACAAAATGCCCCAATCAGGGCGATGAATCTTTAAACGTTTATCGCCTTTTCTATCCGATTTTACTTACCGCTTCTACCTACTAGCCAACCATTAATTGTGACCCATCTATCTTAGAAGGCGCTATACATCGATCGCTATGACGATGTACAATAAACAGCGTATATACTATAACATAATCTCTGATTTTAATATACGTTTTCAGTTTTTTTAATATTTGGCTCATTTTGTAACTCTATTGGACATAATATCGCTTGTGGAATAGTCCTATTAAATACCATTATTGCTTTTGTAATTCTCAGATAAATCCCATCCTCACTTCACGAGTCGGGAATTTATCGACAATTTCCAAAGCACTCGTGGTATTACCTATAATAAATATTTTGCATCAAATCAATGATTTTTACGAAACAAACGAACAAATGAAATGAGAATTGTAAGAAAATTACCTGCTGGCCTGAATCAGTATTCCGGTCATGGAATTTGCTAGTCCAGATACATCTGCATGAAATCCTAAGTGATATTACATTCCACTCAACGGAACATTACGTAACTTTTAGTCATTATAATTTCTGACAGTTATTTCTAGTGTCAACTTCTGCCGCTGGAATCATTAAGTTAAAGAATGAATTTTGGATATGCTAAACCAGTCACAAATATGAAAACCCACCTTTTCTATGAGGCAATGCTGTTGGAACCACTGATAATTATATAAAGGACAAAAGAAAAAACTATAAAATGAAAACGATGCAATCAGAGGTACAGCGCTTGATGATTGTATTGCTTAGAAGAAAATATTATTTTTCGACAATGAAAGTAATCGTTTCGTAATAAAAGTAATTTTAAAATATTGCGGCAATAACTGAACATTCCCTTGTCAAAAGCAACGTCCATATGATTTGAGCAAACATCATATTTGAGCATTGACAATGAGTAATAAAAACTGAGCATTAAATCAGCAACAGAAACTGGTGAAATATAAATGAAAAGACAACATTGTTCCACCTGACCATAAAAACAATATTTCAAATATAACATAAGACGAGAAGACTAAAAAAAATTAATCTTATTCTGAGTGCATATCCATATTCATTTTCTTTAGTTCTCTGTAAGGTACAGCCTTGTTTACGGCTCAGTACGGGGTTTTACGACGTCGATAAACTATTTTCAAGTTCAACGAGGGCTGGCGCACTTTGCCGGCAAGTTTCACCGAAGCACAGCGGACAACAGAAGGGGAGCAGAGCACGGAAACTTTATAAATTACTCCCCGCTTATTTGCTCAAAAGCCTGTTCTAATAATATCGCGATGCAATTGTCAACCTTCGTCCATTTGTATTGCCTGCCGTCATTATCCGTACCGATCTCGCCCGGCTGGCCTAGAAGTGTGGACTTCGTGGAGTGGCGGCGCTCTTGTGGCTGTTCCTCAAATTACACCCATCACGATGGCGTCGCGGCGATTCGTCCTCGCGACATGGGCGCTCGAAGGCGCTTTGAGATTGGGAACGTCTACGACTCTACACCCTTATACAAACGTGATGAAGGAGCGCGCGAGCAGAACGCCATCTAATTACGATCCACAAGAGACTCGAAACGTCACAAGGCAATCTTCTATGAAAATGTGCCTCTTGCGAGCTTATGAGCATGTCTAAATTGCGTTTGTTAATATCCACCCAGGTTGTTCCGTAGGTTGCGACTTTTGCCCCTATTTATATGGGACTGATAATTTGTTGTTTGAGTCAGGTATGCATTCTTCACGGCGATTGGAAAACGCAACATCTAGTTATTCACATCCATAGAGATTTTGGTTTACAATTTTTGCAGAGATTAATTTTTATGTCTGTGAACATTTTATTTATTTATTTAGTATTTATGTACATTTATTCTAACTTCATTGAGTACAGAAAAATCGGCATAACATTTTATGAAGACAAACGTACTCCGTCCCAGTGATGCAGCATTTAATTAGACACTTTACTAAAAGTAATTAAACATGGTGGAAGGGAAATTAACTAGTTGTGCTAAAACAGCTCATACTTTCTACTCCGTATTTTCACGTAAAATTACGCAAAAAGGACAAAAATTTTCGAAAAATTTTACATGACCTTATTTCAAACTCTCTCTATAAGGATCAGATTTCATTAAAGGAAAAATACCCTATCTTTAATAGTTTCGACCGGAAGAAGTTATTAGAAGAAGTTGCATCAACTGATGTCACTGCATTGCCTGTGGCCGCTGATTCTAAGTTCGAGTGCCGACAATGGCAAGATTTACGACACTTGCGACACATGTTAAGATTTCACAATTCTTTGAAAATCAATCGGCCCTCTTTCATGTACATTATTGATTCAGATAGATTGAAAATTGTATTCTACAGCTATACATACGTTGTAATTCATGATATACATTTACAAAATATGCAAGTAAGTGTTGAAAGTTGCTGCTATAATACCTTGCAATAGCATTTTATCTACGTTTGATTTTTGGCAAGAGATGCGATTTCTGAGAAATTAAATTTGAACTAACATTCACATATATTCAATACAACGTGTGACACTTCGAACTGAGGCAATAGGTCTTAAAATCCTGGGCTATCCGGGTCGGCTACCTATTAATTTTATTTTCAAATAATATATTGGTGAGTGACAGTGCCCACAGAAGCGCTTTTCCAACGAAATTGCTGCAGGAAAATTAAGAAGGGAGACTTAAACAGCCCAAAGAGACATGTCGTCCCGAATAATATTAATATATCCCTCACCATCATCATCATCTCTATCGATGTTTACAGAGCCATCTTTCTCTTGTCCGCAGGTACATCTTCCTGGCCATCTACACCGCCGAGATGATCATCAAGAGTGTGTCGAAGGGCTTCATTCTCAACAAGTACACGTACCTGCGAAACCCGTGGAACTGGCTCGACTTCGTCGTCATCACGTCGGGCTACGCCACCATCGGCATGGAGGTTGGCAACCTCGCAGGGTTGCGGACATTCCGCGTGCTGCGAGCCCTCAAGACCGTGTCCATCATGCCAGGTGAGCCGTTGAGCAGCTTTCTTTATTCGACGTGTAGTCTGAGGGTGCCTTTCCTCTTGAGATTTCGGCAAATAAATGCGCAAGAGTGAGGTGAATGTAGGAGATAAATATTTAATTTCATAAATATCCCGTGCTCGTCTCAATTCTTCGTCGTTCAAACTCGACATGTCCTCGGTAAAAGAAGTATTAGCTTCTCCCGCCAGAACAGGCAGATACTGCGCGGATACACTTGTATCCTCCGCTCTTGGTGTAAAAAGTAATAAGGGTGTCGAAAACCGCGTGTTCCTTGCATTGACAGAATAAGACATCAGTTGCGGACAATATTTAACTTCGCATTTTAGCTCCGTGCAACACCTCGTAATACTTTCAGGAAGTTTGGCACATTCAACTATACCGTTTCTTTGTAATTTTTTATTAGTAATGTACGTATTCGTTAAATTATTCATTAGTAGACAATAAAACTGTTGGTGACAATATGAAGCTACATATACTTTTTAGAGGCAAAGCGAGGAAACAATTCAGCATTTTCTCTATGGATCGCCAGAAAACTGGACGCAAAATACTATGGAGAAGAACAGATTTGACGGGCAGTTATCTACAATATTTCCTACTAGCCTGATTTGATTGACAATATTGTTTCTTTAATATGGTATAAAATGATGAACTAATATACGGTAAAAAATATTGAGCATTTCGAAGATAACACATACTTTTCCTTCATATATACAAATATTCCTATACAGTTTCGTGCCAAACCACGCGATTTCTTTACATGAGAGTTACATTACATTCTTTACATACATTATTTAGAATTGCCAAATGCCCGTATGTCTTCGCTGCTTCCCGTACTGATTTACCACATTCTGGGTATTTTTTTGATATTCCGTTTTGGGAATCGTAAAACGGATGCAACGAATCGTAGCTTTCAGTTGATTTTGATGAATTGATTGTTTACTTTTCCTCTAAGATTCGTTTTCTTTAAATACTCTGTCGTCGCATTCATAGGTAACTTATCTATTTCCTGAATCTATTACGGACTACGAACTTTCCCATGATCCATTTTACATCAACTGCTGTTCCTACATTCCACACACCGCCACTGTTAGGACACGATATATTAGCTGGCCATTAATTCGTAATATACCCGAAATAACAACAAGAGACAAATTAATCAGAAACAATCCTGTGAGTATCCGTATGTACACAAATTTTAGTATGTCATATGTTTTTATGAAAAGTACACTGTAATAAGGAACGTTTAGAAAGCAATTTTAATCAAGCAGATCTTTCACTCTCCACAAAAATGTAGTTGTCTTAATTAAACCTATTTCCATAAGAGTGTAATATATCTCAGATAGATGCTGTGAAAAGAGAAACTTGAGAATAATTCTCGTTTACAAAGTTCTTAAATTCCGTTCGTAAAATGTTCTTTTAAATGGCTTTTATCGCGTTCAATGTTAGGTACTTTCAGGATATCTGTAGGTTCATTGATGACTATGTTATTTGGTTTATATTTCTGCCTTTGTAGGGTGTAAGCTGAAAATTTCAGCCCTCTGTAAGTGAATTTGGATCATAATTTTTTATGTTAACTACATTGTAGTCAGGAACGATTAGAAACGCTCCCCATTCAACCGTCTGCCCGACCACCCAACTGTGGTCAACGCTATCACCTACGCCGTGGTATACAGAATTGATATTCCCGCCCCCATCTGGCCGAAATCAAGATCCTTCGAGTTTGAAATCCATATTTTGATTTTTGTACGTACTGTTCTGACTCAAAAATGACTGATTTTTTTTATTAAAGTCACGATCCCTAACCACTGAACTTTATTGCTCGTTGATATCTGCAGACATTGTAAATATACCGGTGTTTCTGGAATCATGTGGTTGTAGGCGTAATGCCTTCATGGAAAGTTAGAGGGTTTTACTGAAAATAAAAATGCGTGGTTGTTTTTTGTTAACACTTGTGTAGAGGGAATCACAGCAATGTATTTTATATTTTGAAAAAAAGGTGATTTATTTTGTCTGCGAGGTTGTATCAAACAGTTTGCATTAAAAAATTCAAAACATACTAGCGGGAGGTTCATTCTGAGATCTTATATTTTCGAAATTAGTTGAAAATATATCCTACAAAACATATTTTTATTATTGGGAGTATTTGTAACGATTAGATTCGTAGATAATTTATCAGGACTTTATTAGCATTATTGCCCAGAAGAACGACTTGTTAACAGCTGAACCCTTAGGGAAATCGACATTTTGATTCATTTTTTAAATCATAAATATGTTTTAAAACATCTCCATTACATTTATAAATTGTTTTTTCTGGTTTTTCCTTTTTCTTTCTTATTTTCAAGAGATGCGTTAACCTGAAAATGGGATCTCCATCTTAGTGAAATCACGAGAACACTTTGTCATTTGGACTTCTCAACTCTTAAACCCAAAGACGCGTTCAAATAAACGACTTCCCTCCCGTGATTCCTCCTTTGCTGCTTCTCAGTTGACTCTCGTTTCGTTCCCCTCTACCGGCCATCCAACATTGCCCGACACGGTGTGCATCCTCATCTTCCTCCGCCCTTTTGTTGCTTGCCCCCGGCGCGGAGCGAGGTCGGCGCTCTTCGCAGTTCCCCACCCCACCCCGCAC